AATTCTTTATCTTGGACTCTCTGACCTTATATATTAAACAACTATGATGTTCCAGGCAAAGTGATAGGCACTGGGGATACAGAGACAGACCCCAAATCGTCCCTGCAATGAAGGAACATTTTACATTTTCTTGGAAGAAATAGTATATATACAGATTATTAATATTATTAATAAAAATAATGATAGCAGCTATATAGGACTATAGTCTGCAAAGTACTTTACTAATAATTATCTTGTTTGATCCTCACAACAACCCTGGGAAGTAGGTGCTGTTATTATGCCCATTTTTACAGATAAGGAAACTAAAGGAGGCAGAGGTTAAGTCTAAGGTCACACAGCTAGTTAGTGTCTGAGGTCAGATTTTAATTAAGGTCTTTCTGAGGTCAGGTTTACTACTCTCTCCACTGTATCACATAGCTGCCTGGGAAATACAAAATAATTTGAGGAAAATGCAGAGGCATTGACTAGGAATTTGTATTCACCTGGGGCAAAAAAAATTGGGGGGAGGGGTTAATGCATACCCTAGACAGTCTGATCTTAGGAGCAGTTGTACTGGAATAGGATGGAAGAGAGAGAGACAGAGAGAGAGAGAGAAGGAGAGAGAGAAGGAGAGACAGAGACAGAGAAAGAGAGACAGAGAGAGAGAGAGACAGAGAGACAGAGATTTGTAAATCTTCAGTGTTATATAAGTATGAGTTAAGAGGTTGAGTGCTTTTTGGTGTTACCCTGTAATAGTGTATGAAACTTGATGACTATGCCAGAATGAGTTTTAGCAGAGTACCTAGGGCCCTGAGAGGCGGGTGATACTGTCCTGATGACAGGATGTGTCTAGGGGTCTCTGGTACCCAAGCCTACCTCTCCAAAGCTTCTCAGAAGTTCAGACTGTTTGCCCATTAAGGAGAGCAGACAGAGAGCTGGTCTAGAGGTAGGAAGACAGGTCCACAGTTGGCTTGGACCTCAGAGGCCATCCAACCCCACCCACTCATTTTACAGGTGAGGACTCTGAGACCTAGGAGTCACCTGACTCCTAGCCTCAGGCCCCAGGACATCTCTTGCATCCCTCCAAGTACTTAGCAATTGTAGTGAATTCCATTTCTATGTGATTTCAATATCTGCAAGCACTTTATTTCAGTATCCCTATTTTACAGATGGGGAAACTGAGGCATAGCAAGGTTAAGCCAAAGGTCACAGAGGTAGTACATACTGAGTTGGGATTTGAACCCAAATCTCTCATGGCTCCAAGTCCAGCCCTCTTAGTAGGTGCTGAATGAATGAATGAAAAAATTGTGCAGCATTTTTTAAAGGGCTACAACATTCCACAAATTGTCAAGTTGAGACTCAGGCTTCAAGAAGAAAAGAGGAAAATTTAGAAACATCAAGAAAATAACACTGGAGTTTTAGTGTTATTGCAGAACTGTCCTGCAGGCTTCCCAGTGGAAAAAAAAATACAAAAGTCCCAACTACTTTGAGCCAACCTTGACCTTCTACAATGAGCCAAGTTTTGGGGTAACGTCCACTATGGCTAAGGTCAGTTCAGTTTCCTAAACTGTACATTAAGAGTCCTCCTGAGTCAGAATGTAAGCTCCATGAGGGGAGGCACAGCTTCATTCTTCATCTTTGCATTCCCAGAGCCAGAAAAGTGCTGGCTGATAGTAGGTGCTTGGTCAATGTTTGGAGGATTGATGAGCAAAGATGGTTTATGGTAGTGAAGAGGGATGCAGAGAAACTGACTCCTTTTCTGGAAGAATACTGGAGGATGGCTATTAATCAATGATCATTGGTCACGGTGATGTCAGAGGAGTAGGCCACAGTTGTAAAAGTATAACTCCTGAGTGATTTAGAGCTTTAAGAATTGCCCAACCAAAAAATTTATTGCCCTAAAGCTAATCTGGAAAGGTGCATTGTCTACTTTAAGTCAGGCTGGTCAGTCAATTAACCCACAAGCATTTATTAAGAGCCCTCTAGATGAAAGGCACTATGCTAGGCACTGAAGATACAAAGACAAAGGGGAGGAGATCTGGCCCTCATGAAGCTTAGGTTTTATTGAAACTTGGAGAGTGGACATCAGACATCACCAGGCCCCTTCTGGAAGTCTTTCCGGTTTGGTAGGACCATCAGACCACCACCACAGCCCCAGAGCACCCTTCCTGAACCCCCAGGAGGCGTCAAAGTGGGATCTGGAGTAGGGATTTCTTCTGGCAAACTTAAAATTCCTCCATTCCCTCCCAAATTACAGATGTTCTCAGCGTATTTGCCACCCACTTTCAAGATGTCCTCCGCCTCCATCCTGTCTCCACCAAGGCAGCTCCTCCCTCCCACTCTTAGGTCCTGCCTTCAAAGTTGCCCTCGAGATGAAAACGAAAACAAGTCTATGGTGTTTTGTCTAATGCATCTTTGTTTCTTCCTCCTTCCCCTCCCCATGCCCAGCACAGTGCTGGCTGTTTGGTAGATGTGTTCGTTAAATATTTGTTGACTAATTGAAAGATTTTCCCAATTACCTAGGTTTTCCCTCCAGTTCTTATTTTTTTCATTTTGGGGATGGGGGAGTAGAGGCAGAGAGGGAGGGGAGGCACTGGGTTAAAGTAGGAGACACAATCTTGCTTTCAAGAAAAACCTACAGCTTCCATACCAATGCCAGTCAGAAATATGACATAAGCAAATGGGCGGCAGCAGCAGCAGCAGTAGTGAGACATATTGGAAATATTGGCTCTTGAGTCAGAGAAGCTGGGTTCAAATCCTACCTCTGATGATCATTACTTCTGTGACCTGTGTTGCATGCTATCCCTGGCCTCAGTTTCCTCCTCTGTAAAATGAGTTGGTTGGATTAGATGTCCCCTTCCACCTTAAAAGCTATGACTGATTCCATGTTTCAGGGTCTTGAGATAGCCATGGTTCATTTATTAGAAGACATGGAAAAGGGGGTGAGATGCTATGACTTTGGATTCCAAGGGGTCCAAATCAATCCCATTGGGATCAGCTCCTGCCCCCCAGGAGACACAGAAAAGCCCAGAAACAGGGTTAGGAGCCTCCTTCAGAGAGTATGTGTCTTGCACATTGGCCCACAGCCCTGATTTCTTTCCAACCTTTGGACTCATGACCACTTGTTTTGGGTGATGGAGGATCCATGTGACTTCTTCCCCTCCCTATTTACTCAGTGGCAGATTCCTAGACCCCTGGGACCCTGGGAATCTGTTTTTGCCCTTTGGGCTTCACCTCTGCTTTATCAATTGCCTTTGGCACTCATTGGACCTCTCTGGCTACCTGGTCTTTGCCTTTACCAATCACTGTGAGCCTTGCTTTCTGACTCTATAAAGTGAGATTTCAACTAGATGACCTCTCCCTTCTCAAACTTCTTGCCATATCTGTGCCTTTATCCACATCACATTACACTTCAAATTAAATTTGCCTGTGTATATGCATTATTCCCCCCTCAGGAGAATGTAAGTGACATGGGGGTAAAGCCAATTTCTTTATTAATTTATATTTCCCTAGGACTAATAACAACAACAACAACAACAACAATAACAACAGTTAGGATCTAAATGGAGCTTTAAGGTTTGCAAAGAGCTTTACAAATATGATCTCATTTGATCTTCACAACGACCCTGTGAAGTAGGTGCTATTATCATCCCCATTTTACAGATGAGGAACCTGAGGCAGGCAGAAGTTAAGCCACACAGCTAGAAGCATTTGATTCTTCAGTCGAATCACACATAAGCTATGTCCACAATATACCTGATGTAAAAAGGGGTTGAATTGTTCTTGTGTCTAACTTCCTCGATTCTAGGTACCCTTCCCCTACAGCCCTGCACCACTGATTTATCATAGCTAGGAACTGATGCTGGGTTCTCACAGGCCAATACCATGGGAGCAAAACCCCTAAAAGTCCTTTTATTCTGCTTATTAAAACAGAAAAGGCCTCAATATGGGTAGAGTCACAAATTCCTACTAGTAAGGAATTTGTCCTTCAACAACAAATAAATGCTCATCATCAAAAAGTTAGACCTTGAGGGATTATTATTATTATTATTATTTTGCCACAGCATGACTTTGGGCAGTTCACCATGCCTCTCTGAGCCTCAGTTTCTGCATCTGTAAAAGTGAGGATGGACTAGTTGATCTCTAAGGTATTGTCCATAAACGTTTAAAGGTCTGACTCAATAAAGCACCCACTAAAAGCATGGAAGGTCTTCTCCCTGTATTCACAGAGGGAGGATTCATTTCTGTAATGAAGGAATCAATCAGAATTCAGCAAACATTGATCAGGCCCCTACTATGTGCCAGGCACTGTACTAGATGATGGGGACTCAAAGTCAAAACTGTGATGGTCCCATCCCTAAAAGAGCTTCTGGTCATGAGAAATCATCCGTGTAGGGCTTTAGGAGAGGGCTCCTAGAGGGGAGGAACAATTCAACCGTTTTCTGCCCCAGTTGTATTGTGGGCTTGACGTCTGTGGGATATGACCCAGGAATCATCTATTCTGGCTTCAGGGGGAAAATGAGGGGTCTAGGGGCAGCTAGGTGGCGCAGTGGATAGAGCACCGGCCCTGAAGTCAGGAGTACCTGAGTTCAAATCCAGCCTCGGATCAAACACTTGACACAGTATTACTCTCTGTGTGACCCTGGGTAAGTCATTTAACCCCAATTGCCTAAAAAAAAATTAAATTTAATTTTTAAAAAAATGAGGATTCTGGGCTAGAAAGCCTCTAAGGCCCTCAACTGCTCTAAATCTAGGGTCCTGGGGCACTTAGGTCTCTCTTGGTTTGGATTTATCCTTAAAATAAGGTTGACTAGGTAACCTCTGAGTTCTCTGGCTCTATGTAGAACCCATGATCCTACTACTCTTGACATAAATGGGCCCCTGAGGATCTCTCTAAGCTTGAGGAGGGGGTCTCCATCAGGCCTAGCCTCTTCAGATTGGGGGGTTGGGGGCATGAAAAGGGTGAGGTTGAGTCCCCAGCCCTGCCCGTCCCGGCTGCTCCCCCAGCGCCCCGTCCTCACCCTCATGGTCTCGTAGGCTTCGTCCAAGGTGCTGAGGGCGTGCTGCTGGTGGGAGCCGGCCACGGCGCACAGCGTGCAGATGAGCTGCTCGTCCTCCTTGCAGTACAGGCTCAGCTCCTGGTCGTGCTCGGAGCACTTCTTCCTCTCCAGCTTCTCCGGCTCCCCGGGATGCCCGTCGGGGCCCCCGTAGTCCCACAGCCGGTGGCTGCGGTACCTCTGGCGGTGCTCGCGGGCGTGGGGCTGGCAGTAGCAGAAGCCGCAGCTGTCACAGAGCTGCACAGCCCTCTCGGCCTCGTCCGGCTCGCAGGCGTCGCACGTGCCGTCGTGGGGCAGCTCTTCGAAGGCCGGGCCCGCTCCCGAGGCCATGCTGCCCTTGACCTCAGGCGGGGCGGAGGGTCAGTGGCCTGGGCCGAGCCCAGAGGGGCATCAGCCTGCAGCACTAGGGCCCGGCCACGGGGGCTTTGTCCACGGCCATCCCCAGCCACGGGGGCACCGGGGCTAGGCAGGGAAGCCTGCAGGCCCTACGGAGCCTCTCTTTTCTTTGCCCAGGGATGAGGGCTTCTACTGAGGCTCCACTTCCTCCTGGCACTCCCTCCTTCCCCTCTGGTCGACTTCCTGCGTGGGGAAGCCTTCCTCCTGGGTTCCCATGCAGCACGGTCTCCAGCAGGCGCTGCTGCAGCTGCTGCAATTGCTGCCGCTGCTGATCCCGCTCCCCGCTGAGCGGCCGCCCCTGCCCCGCAGCGCCCGCAGCGCCCGCAGCGCCCGCAGCGCCCGCAGCCCCAGCAGCGCCTGGATGCTGCTCTCTGTGCCGCCCACCCCCTCGCTGGGCCCGTGGCCGTATCGTCCTGGCTCTGCCGCCGGCCCTGCACCCCTCCCTCTATCGGGGTGTCTCCCTCCCTCCTCTCCTCCCTCCTGCGTTGCAGTTCCTGCCTTTGTCCCTGCCTCTGCTGGCCCAGCTCTATTTCGAGCCCGGATCTCTCTCTCTCTCTGTTCCTCCCACGCCCCCACTCCCCCCCCCCCCCCCCCACTCTCTCTCCTTTCTGTCTCTCCCCCTCACCTTCTCTCTCTTCCTCTCTCTTTCTCTCTCCCCTTCTCTGTCTCTCTGTCGCTTCCTGGCTCTCTCCCTCCTTCTCTCTCCCTCTCTTTTCTCTCTCTCTCTCTCTGCCCCCCTCTCTCTTTTTCTGTGTGTCTCTCAGTGTGTCTGTCTCTGACTACCTCTCTCTCCACCCTTTCCTCTAAGTATCGCTACCTATTTTTCTTTGCAAGCCCCAAATCCCCCCAGCTGTCAGGTCTGGGGTTGTGGGTCAGGCTGCCCCAAGACCCCCAGAGCTAGGGAAAGGGTCTACTTTCACTCTCCAAGATAGGCTGAACTCCTTTCACTTCCTGAGTTGTTTAAAGAGGCAATGGCCTTCTTCTCTCCCTTTCCCTCCCTGTCTGCTGCTGCTCTCCCCCTTTCTCCTAGTCCTCCTCTCCCCCCTCCATCCAAGAACCCAAGAAAGAAGGCTGAGACTGAGTAGCTCCAGGTCAACACCTCACCCCCCCCCCCCAAGCCCCAT